AATATCAAATTTTATTATTTTGTTATTTTTGAATTCTAAATTTTAAAAAACCTTAAATACAACTTGCGAATTAAAATTTTTAAAACTAATCCTTCTTGCCTAAAAATACCATGAAAATGTGTCATCTAAATTTTAATTTTGAAACAAATTTTCATTTGAATATCTAAATGGGACCAAAATTTATAGACTTCAACAAATAAAAAAACTCTCATAGGGAATTTATATTTATTTCAACATCATCATGATAGTTTTTTTCAATTAATTGGGGTTGGCTACACGAAACCTGACCTGCCATTCTGCTCTATTAAGAGTCATACCCTCAGTAAGGCCATAAGTCTTTTAGTTTATATTTATTCCGTGACAAAATACAATAACACTTACCCAAAAAAAAGGAATATAATATCACTTTTATACAATAGTTTTCCGATAAAATTCCAATAAATACCTGATAAAAAAGATCCAATTGATGATTTCTCCATAAATTTTGTCACATTTACTAAAATTTTCATTTGAATATCTAAATAGATCGAATTTTAAAGACTTGGCGGAATAAAAGGCTCTGTTACGGAATTATTCCATGATAGAAGATAATATAGTTTCATTTATTAACTTTCTGAAAAAAAGAAATAATAATAATAATAAAATATGCAACAAAAAAGATCCAACTCTTAATATCTTGATAAAATTTGTCGACGATGATATCAATATAGCAAAAATCATCACTAGGCCAACAAATTACCCCCAAAAAACAATAACCAGTGTGTCAATACCTAGATTGGTTTCACCTCACTAATCAGTTTGGAATGTTGGATTGAAAAAAAATAGAATTCGGGGGTTTTAGGGGGACCACGCCTGTCATATCGGACCAACCAGTCTGATTCCTGATTCAAATCCGCAATATGAATCGGGAATCGCATGTTTTTAAACACCAACAATAACAATTAAAACCGCATAGGTGCACTTAGATAATTGCCCTTGAGTATTGAGTAAACGCGTGGATTGTTAAGATGCTCTGCATAGGAAATATCAGCCGTTGCTTGGTTTTTAAGAGCCTTAGCATAACCCTAGAACTAACTCTATAATGTCTTCCAATTAATATAGTGCAGTATGAATGAAGTGTCAACCTTAAACAATCAAAGCGAGATGTAATATCGGTGCCAAAATCCTTATACATGAAAATCTATTTTAATCCTTAATGAAAACATATACATCTCTAAAATGATATAGATTGAGCAGATCTATATGCACTGAAATATTAAAAATGGTTGGTTCACATTAAGCAGATCTATATGTACTGAAATATTAAAAATGGATAGTTCAGATAACATATTATGATGTCAAAGAAGATTGAAAGATTAAACCGGATACTCTTTCAATCTTAGAACAAGCAAACAAACAACAAAAATGAAGCATGACAAGTGGTTGCAAGTCAATGCAAGGGAAAGAAGAAATCTTGATTCATCATTTTGTTTTATTAAGAGTCATATCAAGCCATAAGTTTTCGTATCTTCTCTCATTACCAGCTTTTATTTTTTTTAGCATTCCACTTGAACTAACTCGCATTGGGTTTATACCACACATGGCTATCCCGCCTAACTACTCTCTCTCTCCACATTAATCTCTACTAGTACATTATCTCCATCCCATGTTAATCTCTACTAATCCCTTAAAAATGGGATTCTTCTTAATCTTTTAAATCACGTAAAAACCTCCACTTTTTCAAACTTCAAACTACATAGCCTGAATTGTCTCAATTTGCTTGTTTATAGTACCCACAAGCAAAGGACTACTGCATTTTAGGTCAATCTTAGGTTAAACCTTTTTTTTTTGGGAAAGTTGTTTCATGCGTGGACCGCATTTCTACATATGCGGTCCATAAGTATAAAGCATAAATATTAAAGATGGATGCAAATATGTGGTTCATCTAAAAACAATTGAAACTAACAGTCCAAATATTGTTTTAATAGAATTATTATTTGTAGTTTTTCAAATGTATTTATTTTTTCATATTCATGATCTCCATGTCAGAGATTACAAGTTTTTAAAAATTAAGCCAACAAACCTATCTCAAAAATAGATTTATTAAGTGATCCGCATTTCTACATGTGTGCGTTTGGTCCACGTACTAACCGCATCTTTTGGGTAATTCAATGGAAAAGACAAGTCACCCGTTTTTTTAGATAGATTAAGGAGTTGGTATTTTTTTTTGAAGGTGTCATTGGGTGGTGTCAACATGATTGGAAACCAAACATGATAACTAGGTTAGGGGCGCTACCAGCACGACCTAGGCCCTTTCCTATTTTAGGTCAAACTGTGATAATTTAATTTGCTCGGTATTGAAGATTGTTTTTTAGGATAAGGCTAGCATCTTAAATGAACTTAAATTAAAAAGGCTAGCACCTTAAATGAACTAAAATTAAAAAGGCTAGCTTCTTAAACGAACTTAAATTAAAAAGGCTAGCATCTTAAATGAACTTTTTTCTTTGTATATGATTATGTAAAGTCTATATAAGACATCAACCTTTACTATAGAAGAAAGGAGCACCGGTTACAATCACGGAAAAAGGTTGCTCTGGTACTAGAAAAACCTCTAATTGATAATCTCGATCTATAATTGTATTGTTCTAATGCTAAAAAACAATCGAATTGGTAATCTCAATCACAGATTTGTATGGATACGAAGAAAAGGATTTCAAGTTCTGAAAATGATGCAATAATACCATGCAAACCGCGTTCAATTTTTTTCTTTTTCTAAGTGAGTAAGTGGGAAGAGGCCCCTACCCTTGATAGGAATTGAGCTTAAGACGTAGCAAATCGTCGAGCGCTAATCAATTAAACTCGAGCTCTTTTCCTCAAAAAGACCACTTTTTTTTTTTTTTTGGGTAGAATGGAACTTGAGATAATCCCGTTGAGTTGATTGGATTTGATTTTATGTTTAATGAAAGAAAGGCATTTTATTTGATGAATTGAAAATGGTAGTTTCCTAGGCCCTTAAAATAGTGGCGTAGGGGTCCACTTTTTGTGGCCTGATGTTTTCCTAGGTCAGTCACCCTGACGGCACAAGAACACACACTATTAAGAGCTCCCGCGGGAGCATCTAATATTTTGGCATGTAAATTCATCAAGTTGCTGGCCTTACGTGAAAGACGAGATCGAGTGAGAGACGTCATGTAGATTCACTCTGATTTGAACGTACAACATCTCTCTCTCTCTCTCTAAAGTGATTGAAATGGATGTGGATGGCCGTTAGAGTGAGAGAATGCATGAAGTCTTGTTGGTTGGTTTTACTAAGTCGATAAATTGTGGCTAAAAAAGTGGGCAACATTAACTTCCTCTCATTATTCAAACAAACTCAAATCTATCCAACGTCTGTGTCTCTCTCTCACTTCACCTAGAAAAACACTTGCTCCCTCTCACCATGTAAAACTTCCAATCCATAACAACACACTCTCTCTCTCTCTCTAGCTTCCAAACCAATAACAAAACCCTAATCTCTCTCTAGCTTCCCAACCACTAACAAAATGCTAATCTCTCTCTAGCTTCCAAACCAATAACGAAACCCTAATCTCTCTCTAGCTTCCAAACCAATAACAAAACCCTAATCTCTCTCTAGCTTCCAAACCAATACGAGAACTCGGCATCCTCTCTTTCTCTGCATATCAAGTTCTAAACCATAGCAAAACCCTACATTTTTCTCTGTCACTCTAACAGAATGCCTCTCTCTCTCTCTACCAGTCGCACACCCCATAGCCTCAGCAAAAAAGCAATGACTAAACCTAAAAACCGACCAGAAGAGACTCCGAAACCCAGTGAAGAAGGGCCCATATCCGAGCAATCCTTCTTCTGCTGGCCAGACCTGAGATCCCTTCTCGGTCTGTGCTGCCGCACCTGCAACTCCCAACAACTCTTTCACGTATCGGATTTTCCTCTGTCTCCCATTACTGGTACATTTTTTGGCCACAAAAATGACAAAGTAAGCTTTTGCTTCCAACAAAATCCATCCGTTTTTCCGCCATTTCTGGTCATTGATCTTCCAATGCTAACTTCTAAGTTAGCTGATGAAATGCAGTACGGGTTAGTGAGATTAACGTTAGAATGTGTAAATTGTTCAGAAAACTTCCCTCAAAACAGTGAAAATCTTCATGTTTTTGAGGGAGAGAGCTTTGTGACTTACTTTAATGGACGGAAAGTGGGGTTTTCGATGAAGCGACAGATGAATGCAGACCAAGTGACGACGTTTATGACTATAGGGAACATGACAGCAGGTGCCGGAGTCTTCCCAGAAAACCTTGGTTTGGACGGGAAAACAAAGTCTGACGAAGGGGAGTTTATGTACCTTAGGGCGAGCTTTCGTAGAGTGGTGGGCTCGGTTAACTCCGAGTCGTTTCATATGATAGACCCGGCCGGTTCCACTGGTCAAGAGCTCAGCATTTTCTTTGTGAGGTTTGATTCTTAGGGGTTGTATATGAAATTTTCTTACGTTGAAATTGCTTTCTTAGGTGTTGTATATGAATTTTTCATTGCTGAAATTACTTTCCTTGATTTAATTGGGTTTATGTATCTTTTTGCAACTTAGGAAAATTATGGATACCCTCCCATATAAATTTTATAGATATTTATTATCACGGGCAATGATGATTTCATGCAACGGAAAACCATGTTTGTGGTATTTGTATGACCCAAAATTTTGCTCACACACTCTCTTTGTCTCAACAATCAATCCAAAAAAAAAAAATTCAATTTGAACCCCTAGATATTATCAAAATAAATTTACCTCCAACAACGAATCTAGACCATTTATTTGGTGAATTTCAAGATCTTATCCCTTAGAAACTCAAAATCATTTTTTTTTTTTTTTAACATTATTCATCTAATGATAATAAAGTCATCTAAAAAAATTGGAAAAGAAAAAATACCTCTAAGAGCTAGATCTAAGCATCTTATCAATATGAACGGCCTATATTATTTGAGCTAAAATAATACCTTCTAGATTAGGTTTTCAAATTTTTCTTTTTTTGTGATTGTACATTAAAATGAAAAGAGTACATATTTTAAATTTTGGATCAAACAAATGGCCTTAACATTGTTTTTGAAAATGATTGCATCATACTATGATATAACTGTTGCATGAAATCATTGCTCTAGTATCACACCCATTATGATTGAGTAATTGTTGTTTCTTGCATTTACCCATCAAAAAGTAAATACTTTAAAGGCTAAACTGCTCAAGTTAAATCTCTGTCTCTCTACTCGCTTACTCTCTCTTTTTCCCTTCCCACCACTCTCTTTCTCACTACCCGCTTACTCTCTCTTTTTCTCTTCCCACCACTCTCTTTCTCACTACCCGCTTACTCTCTCTTTCTCACTACCCGCCGCTCTTTCTCTCTCTACATGCCTCTCTCTTGAGTAGAGGGAGAAAGAGAAAGAGACAGAGCAGGTACAGAGAGAGCGTGGGTAGAGAGAGAAAGAGAGAGGGCAGGTAGAGGGCCGATAGAGAGAGAAAAAGAGAAGTGGTAGAGAGAGAAAGAGAGAGGTGATAGAGAGAAAGAGAGAGTAGGTAGAGAAAAGGGACGGGTAGAGAGGGATTTGACTGGGGTAGTTTAGTTTTTAAAATATTTGTTTATATTTGTTTTTTTTGACTTGGGTAAACCCAATAAAAAAGGGTCGGGTTTTGTGTGATACTAAAAGAATTGGATAGAATGTCTATAAAGTTCATTTATAGCCATAATTTAGGAGTATATGAAAGTAAAATATTTATATCACTTTCATAAGATAAAAAATGGGAAATGACCTTGTAAGACCATCCCACACCCATGTGTGTAGGACCCCAAAAGATCACTATTGTGTAGGACCCCAAAAGATCACTATTAAATTTGACACAAATCTCTAGAAAAGTCAAATCCCACACCCATGTGATAACTTTTTTAGATATCTGTGCTAAATTTAATGGTGATCCTTTGGGATCTACACACATAGGTGTGGGAAGGTCTCATAAGGATCATTACTCTAAATATATATACAGTAAGAAAGTTATTGTTAAATAGACATTCATAGTTCCATTCTTTGTTTACAAGCATCACATGTTCTTGCCAATAATATATGTAATGTAAATGTAAATGTAAAGCATATGAAAATCTTTACGGTGTTCCAATGTTCCTTATTCCAATGTTTCCTAGGGTCCCAGGATCCACGGTGGGCGGGCCCAGGGTTGTCCCCACGACAGGAGGGTGGGTGAGCCCAGGGTCAGCTAGGCACCCAGGTCTTCAGAGTGGAGAGACCCGTGCCCAAGTCTTAAAACATGGAAAAAGTTTATATGAGGATGCTACCTTATAATGTAGAACTACATATGCCCCTCAAAAATCCATCGTAAAAAGTAGTTTTAATGTTGAAAAACCTTTGATTGATCATCTCAACATCGAGATGTATAACTATGGGAAAAAAAAAAGATTTTAAATCTAAAACATAGTGCATTTTACAGCATATTATCTACACCTTCCATTTTCAAGATTTTCATATGTTTATCTATCTACTTGATTTTAACCATTTTTTAAATTTAAAATTTTATAATTAGATATAAAAATAAATTTCGAGATAATCCTAAGACA